TAAGAAGTTGGGGTAAGAAACAATTTGTAACTAGACTAATTTTGTCTCTGGTAAGGCAGCTTCCCAGAGCGCTGCATCATGGATTGTTTTTGTTTCCAGAGGCACAATTGATGACTGTGAACTGGTTGAAGGATTAGTTCTGACTCAGAAGGTGGCAAATACCGGCGTAACCAGAGTGGAAAAAGCCAAAATTGGCCTCATTCAGTTCTGCTTGTCTGCTCCAAAGACAGATGTAAGTTCAACTACTACTCGAGCAAAACCTTTTGCTTTGGTATTTGGGAGATGCAAATGTAATGATAACATGGTTTTTTTAAAACATGATGTCAGCTCTGTTCCACAGCTGTAATGAAGATCTGCTTGGTAGTGCTTAGCTACTCATGACTCTTACAGAAAGAAAAGAAAGAAAAGAAGAAAGAAAATAGTTCAGAAGTCCTGTATTTCTCGTCGTTTAAACAACCTCTAATAAGACCTATTTTTCTACCATGCTTGTTTGCTTTGAATCATGGGCTCCTAAGTTAAAGCACAGGGAATATCTTAACACTTGCTTTTAAAGTCAGCAGTTTTTTGTAATACTTGCTTCTTCTTTTCTTTTTTGAATAGATGGACAACCAAATAGTTGTTTCTGATTATGCTCAAATGGACAGAGTACTGCGTGAGGAGAGAGCCTATATTTTAAATTTAGTTAAGCAAATTAAGAAGGCTGGATGCAATGTGCTACTGATCCAGAAGTCGATTCTGCGGTATGTTAGTACTGATTTACTCACTTTCTGTGTGTTTGGGAGAACAATTGGAATTGTTTAGAATACCTAGAAAATTGAAGCCAAATACTAACAGTCAGAGTGTCAGAGTGGCTGTAACAGCGACTGTGCCTTTAGAAAGCACTAGTCTTGTCTATAGTTTGGGTTTAATGACATCTGTAACTTCTAGTGTGAAGAATGTTGGCACTGCTGGTAGGAGCATGCAAGTGGCTGGTGTGAGCGGTTACTGCAACAGCGCGGTGGACTGACGACTTCCCTCTTGTTTCTAGGGATGCTCTTAGTGACCTAGCCCTCCATTTCCTGAACAAAATGAAGATCATGGTGGTTAAAGACATTGAAAGAGATGACATTGAGTTCATTTGTAAGGTAAAGTGAGTTACGTCAATAGCTGTTAAAGTAGCAGCCGTGTTTAAAGTCTACCCCAAAACTAAGTACCCAGCCAGCACCAGTTTTTTATGACACTTTCAAAAGTTTCATGTTCTGACTATAAGAGCAGACATTTCCCCCCCCCCCAAAAATCCTGTTCTGTTGAGCAGTCGCATTTCTAGAAAGATTTGGGACAGATGTAAAAGCTGTGGTCCTAACTGTATTTTACTGTAATATGCAGAGGAATGTTGTGCAGTGTACCTGCTGACTCTGCAGTTCAGGTTCTGGGTTTATTTCTTTTCTTTTTTTTTCCTATTATTTTTTCAGACAATTGGAACTAAGCCTGTTGCTCACATTGACCAGTTTACTCCTGACATGCTGGGGTCTGCTGAGCTGGCAGAGGAGGTCAACTTGAACGGTTCTGGGAAACTAATAAAGGTGAGTGAGTGACAAAATGTTAATAACTATGTAACATCTGCCAGTTATTTTAATAACAACTGCTAACTTTAATTGTTTTACTACTGAAGTCATAACATTTAACTACCTACTTCTAATCCCCAAGTAGGCATCAGCTTGGGAAGTGGAGTGGTCTTGCTTAGGCAGATGTCAGTACTATTGTAGAACTTGCAGATGCCAACTGAAGGCTCTTTTTTTTCAGAACCCTTTTTTCAGTCTTAGTATTTGGTTTTATCTTTTAGATCACGGGCTGCACAAACCCTGGAAAAACTGTAACCATCGTGGTACGTGGATCCAACAAACTTGTTCTAGAAGAAGCTGAGCGTTCGATTCACGATGCTCTGTGTGTAGTAAGATGCTTAGTTAAGAAAAGGTAATGTCTTGGTTTTGTTAGAATAATTTATTACATTAATAATACAGGAAGCTAATAATTTATACACTTATGTGAAATGAGTTTTTATTTTTAATTTCCATCCTCAGAGCTTTAATTGCAGGGGGTGGAGCACCGGAGATAGAGTTGGCCCTGCGCTTGAACGAGTACGCGCGCACTTTGCGGGGTATGGACTCGTACTGCGTCCGCGCCTACGGGGACGCTCTGGAAGTCATACCATCCACACTGGCTGAGAACGCAGGTCTCAATCCCATTTCAACAGTGACGGAGCTGAGAAACAGACATGCTCAAGGAGAGAAAACAGCTGGCATTAACTTCAGAAAGGTAACAAGGAGATCTGTATGATAGCGTAGCTTCAAAATGCTTGGGCACTAAGCAGAAAATGCTTAGCATTAGGGCTAAACTAAGGAGAGGGCAAGTTTGTGTCTCAACAGTGTTCTCCCTGTAATTAGTGTTGAGGTAGATTACACTTGTTCTCTGGGGCCTTAACGGCTTATCCTGAATAATTGGTAGCACCAGGTAGTTAAATGCCATATCCACAGGACAAGAAGCTTCATGTGTCTCTTCAAAAACATTATTTCAGTTATAGAAATAGATCCATTTGGAAGGATTGATCGCTGTTACTGCAGTGGAAGGTGCTCATGTTACAAGCAGCCCGGTGGAGTAGCTTCTGTCAAACTGTCCCTGTGTTTAAGCTGGTGTAATTATGTCTGTCTCTTCTGCTGGTGATTTTTGACCGCATGTGTCAAGTGCTTGGGAGGGGGGAAGGTGCATACCGTAATAGTTACTGTTGAGGAGGGAAGAACACAAGGCCTTTGATAGTCTAAATTAGAGTTGACTGTCCTCAGGATTCTACCAGAAGGAGCCTTGCTAAATCTAAAAGCCACTTGTTGTCACAGGGTGGCATTTCCAACATCCTGGAGGAGCTGGTTGTGCAGCCGCTGCTCGTGTCTCTGAGCGCATTGACTCTCGCAACAGAAACAGTGCGCAGCATTCTGAAGATTGATGATGTGGTGAGTAGCATTTACAGCATGTTTTATTTCATCTTTTTTTCACAAGCACCGGGGTAGTTATTGTCATCTAACTTGCTGTGCTTAAAAATAGAATTACTGTGTAGTAGTCTCAGTTTATATGCTAATTAGACCATTTGGCCTTTTAATAACTGCAATGGGGACAAAGGAAAATGCATTATAAACACTGTACCTTAAAGTAAGCTAAGAAAGAGACTAAAAAGTAACCGTTATGTATCCTGTGACCTTCCTGTGCCTGATTGTGTGAACTCTTCTTTGCAGGTGAACACTCGGTGAGCTGAAAAAAGGAAGTTGGGACTGTGCCCTGAAGCTCCTTCCCTGTAGTGTGGAATGTGATTTCCTCACCAAAAGCGCCTGTGTGAATTGTCTTAAAGTCCACAAAGGCTTATGTACTTCTTTCACGTTAATTTAATAAAATTTCTGGTTTCAACAAGGAAATGCTGTTCATCAGTAAACACGTAGTAGTCTGAGTCTCTGCTTCATAATTTTGCTAGAAATAAGATAAACTTTTCGTTACACTTGCTTTTTTGTGTTACATGCTCTTACCTAGTGCAGAAAAGTTTAACAGCAAATAATTAGTTCTTGTAATACATTGTAACAGCAGCCTTGGATTGGCACTCTGGTAACAGGCTGCTTCTCTCAGAGGTGTCCATAACAGAGTGGTATTGTTTCCTTTAAACATGACTGGCTGGAGAGGAGGGCTGTCTTTGCAGCGATAGCACTTAATGCAGTCCTTGCTGGTTTGTCTCCTGAAGCCATTGCATGATCCAGAGGATTGCAAGTTACGACCTAGTTCTAAAAAGGCAGGGATGATAATACTGTAACTAGGCATATCTGTACTAATAGGGATTTATTTAAAATTGGGTTTGGATAACAGGTGTATCTCTCTGAACCAGTTGTAACTGTTAATTTTGTCACTTCCATCTTGGTGATGGTGGTGAAGTCGCAGTTCTGTTCAGGAAAAACCCCAGGAATGAAACTTTGGATAGCTTAAGTAAATCTACTCCAAATTAGTTGTTTTTCCCATAACTGGCCAAGAAGTCAAAGTATAGTATTTTATAATAATGCAAATTATACTTACCTGAACCAATTAATGGAATGCACATTAAAATCTATTAATACCTGAAGGAAATGTGTACCCCTCGTTCACGTCACTGCATCTTGGTGCATTATTAGAATCACTGCTAGGGTGAGCTGTAATGCAGGGGTTCTCAGCCACCAGGAATACCCAACTTGTCCCTGCATTCACTCAGAGTTATTTTTTTCTTAATGTTACATTTCATAGTTTAGAATAAACATTTTTCAGCTTCTAATTCTTAGCCTGAAATGTTGAATTAACCCTTTTGTCTTCCCTATTGCAATACTGAGATGACCAGATTCCTCTCTTAGTTTACAGGAGAGTATTTCTATTTATGATTGGACAGATCTGTAGCTTTTGAGTAAACTTCCACCACTTTGTTGACCGGCTGTTGTTGGAATTCTTTCCTATCACAGCCAAGTAGAATGACAATCAGAATAATTCCACTCCTAAGAATAAGCCAGACAATCGATTTAGGCATTAATGCTCTGCATCAATCATTTATTGACTTTAAAACTATAAATTACGCCTTACCCCACAGGGTTACATCCAGCAATGATCTCTTTAGTTTAGGTATTAACTTTAGTTAAAGCTTTCCTTCTCCGTCATCGCAAACTTCCAATTCTGGGCAAGACTTAGAGCTGCTGAGTGGGATGTAATCTTTTAATCCGTTTCTCTGCATGAAGGTGTTGGTAACTCGCTGCAATAAGGAGGGCCGGTCATCATCAATGCCTCTGCCGAGGCATTGATGATGACCGGCCCTCCTTATTGCAGCGAGTTACCACCACCTTCATGCAGAGAAACGTTCCCGCTGCTCCTGGCTCACCGCCCCTCTCGCAAAGCGTGTCCCGGAGCGGGCAGTGCCCGTAGGCAGAGGGCCCTCCTCTTCCGCTCGAGGGGCCGCCCCCGGCCGCGGAGCTGAGTGCGGGGCTTCCGCGGCTGCGGGCCCGTTGGCCATGGCGGCTGCGCACCGTGCGGCGCGGCTGGCCGCCTCCTGCCTCCGCACCCCGCTGGACCCGCGCACACGGGCCCCCGCCGCGCTCTACGAGCGGGGACCGCCGCCCGCCGCCGCGCAGGTACCGCGGGAAGGGGGGCTGGGGGGGGGCTGCGATGGGCTCCGCTGACGCCGTCCCTCCCACCGCAAACCCGCTTTTTGTGTGGGTTTCCCCGCACTTTTTCTTGCACCGGCGCGCACGGACACCGCCGGCAGCTTTGGCTACAGAAAGTAGTCCTCTCGCTTTTTATGCTTAAAAATAGCACAAGGAAGCCTTTGTAATGCAAACTAACCGGGTTTTAATAACTTCCCTACGTTTTAATTAAGCTGCCACACGCCGTGGGGACTATGAGCTGTGCGGGATCCCCGCCGGTGCGGGAGAGGGGAATAAAGAGTTACAAGAGATCCAAGGACTCACTCTGAGAATGCTCGTGGAATTAGGAGGCAGAGAAGGGTCCGTTTTGGTTTCGTTTGTTTTTAAATGAAGGCTTTTTTTAGAGCTGTGTGCTAATGAAGGGAAAATGACACTTTTTACAAAATAGTTAATTTTCTTTTTTTTTCATTAAGTCCTTTTGATCATATTTCCTGGTATAAATATATTGATTACAGGGACAGACTTAGGAATTTTACGTGCTTTAAATAGGACCATTTAGGATATAAATTATTATGCAATGAGATTACTCCATGTAAATTCTTATGCAATAAGATTACTCCCTGTGACTGCATTAACATTAGTGTACAGGTATCTCTATTTGGTGTTACTGTATCACTCATTAGACTTAATTAGGATAAAGCAGTAATTAAGAACGTCGTTCCCCTTTCTTCTAACAGTCAGAAAATTAAACATCTCTTCTAGGATGGTTTGGATTTGGATTCAAATACGGACAGAGAGCAGACCCTTTCTCTAAATGGGGACTCTGATGATTGGATAGACTTTTCCAAAATGTGCAATTCAAATGAAGAATATTACTTGAAGCTAGAAGAGTTGAAGAATGCCCACTTGGAGACCATGGCAAAATTAGAAAGTATGTATCGGAATAAACTGTATTTAAAAGGAGTACAACACTTGGAGAAGAAAAATGCTGCTTCTAATACATGTTGTAGGTAAGTTTGGTGGTACCTTTTGTCTGAAGATTCTCCTATGCTTCGCAGACATTTGTAAAACAGCGAGGTTGGGAAGTGTCATACTCCCTCCATTCCCTATAAGGGGATAATCACAGAAAAGTTAGTTTTAATAATAAAAATGCTTATTCACCTTGCTGACAGACTGTGAGATTTACAGGTGTGTGTGCAGCAGAGACTGCAAAACATTTAGTAAACATGCTGCCTTTCCTTAAGTAGTGCTGGCTTGTTCACACTCAGAACTTTAAACTATGATCTGGTGTGAGTGCCCAATGAGCTTCTCTTTTCCCTTCTGTTCCCCCTCACTTCTTCCCCACCAGTGCTGTTAATTTTTAATTTTTTTTTTCTAATGACAATACCTTAAAGTGGAAGTTACTGGACATTAGTGTTGGGTTGGCCTCAAAACAACTTTTTTCCTTTTTTTCAAGGCCGACTTGGGAGAAGAGCTCATATCAGCCTCTAAATTTGCACAAATCCTTTTCAGACTCTGACTTAAGTGATCTCTCAGGCTCAAGTATATCTGATGGGTCTGACAGAGAATTAGCGTTTGAAGAAAATGGTAGTGAAACCGGATCGTCTGCATTTGCTAAGGAACGGATTGAGAAAATGTGGGACGGGTTCAGTGTGGAAGACTACATCTCCCGCACCAAGCCCAGCTCCTTACCCAGGTCACCAGCCTTCAGAACAGCACGGAAGAAACAGAAAGCATGGTCACCAAAAGTTACTGTGCCTAAGCCCTTCCAGATGACTATTAGAGAAGCTAGAAAAAAAGAACAGAATCTCAAATCAAAGTCACAGATTGAATTGGAAAATAACTTATTGAAGAAGCAACTAGAGGAAGAAGCAGAGTGTCAGAAAAAATTCCGAGCCAATCCAGTGCCTGCTGCTGTCTTCCTTCCTCTCTACCGTGAAATCGTGCAACGAAACGAGGAACGCAGGAGGTCTGTGAAAGAGAGAAGCAGGCTCAAGCTCTTGGCTTCTCAGAAGCCATTTAAATTCATAGAACGAGAGAAGCAAAGGAATGAAATTAGGAAAATGCAATTACGAGACCTTTCCACACCTGAAAAGAAAAGAAAACAGTTCAAAGCAAAACCAGTTCCTAAATGTGTTTATAGCCCAGCTGTTACTGACAAGCTAAAGGAGGAGGAGCTCTACAGAGAGATCAGGATCAGGATGAGAGCTGAAGAGTTGCTACGTAATTCATCTCTTCCCAACAGCAGACTGGCTTTAAAAGATACCAATAAAAAGAAGAAACACAAATGCGTTGAACCAAAGCAAACAGAACATAAACCCAAGATCAAATCAAATGTACCAGATTTTGAGCTACTACACCAGAAATTTCAGAAACAGCTCCTGCAACAAAAACAAGTGAAACACCTTACAGTCTGTGAACCTTTCGATCTTCGCACTCCACGTATTCCCTCAAACAAGGGGAAGATTTTGAAGGACATTCAAGAGGATGAAGAAAAGTTGAAAGAAACGCGTTGGCCATATACCTCTCCAAGACGTAAACCTCAAATGAGACATTCAAGGGCAAACTCACATCTCTCAGAATTTGGAGAGTCTAAATCGCCAAAAATCACAGAATCCACAAGGCGACGGTTACAAGCCATAAGGTGACTACTTTAGCTATGCTCTACATTTGATATATACTTAGGAGTAGACTTCTTTGTATTCCTGCACATGTAGTTAATTCTTCCATGCAGTGAATATAGGACTAAATGTATTAATATAAGGGCTTAATTATAATATAAAACTTAAAACATTTAAATATAGGACTTAATTAGTATTAATAATGGTTAAAGAAACAGTAATGCATTTTTCTCAAATTTCCATAGGAAAGGGACAAATGACTGCTGCTTCCCAGGATATGCCTGAACTCCTTAAAATGTTGCATACCTTGTGTTCTCTTATGCCAACCCTGTTTTCACCCTGTTTTTCTCTCTTGAATCTCCTTTGCCAAAACTTCCTTTGAAGTCTTGCTCTTGATTTAAAATGAATTCAGCCTTAGTTTATTTTTCCACCCAGGAATTCACTTGAGGAAAAGAGAAAGCTGGAAGAACAACAAAAAAGGAACAAAACAATGCAGAAACAAAGAACAAAAAAACTCCAGAAAATTGTAACAACTCGGGCTGAGGCCAATGACCCACATCAGAGCCTAGCTCAGATCTCTAAATCCAAATTAAAAACATTCAGGTATTTTGTTGCATTCCCCCGAATCCCAAACCTCTCATTCTACATTGTATGTTAAACATACAATGTAAAAAATAGCATAGTCTCCGTTTACATAATTACACATTTTATAAAGTATACACTGTACAAACAGCTAGTAAAAAAAGTGGCCAAATTTAGTATTTCAACTAGGAAGTTGTTGCCTGTTCTAATGATTTCAATCTATATGATCCACCTTATAGTACTACAGATTAGCTAATAGGAGACTCCTATGTTTTCTCAATTTCCGTATCAAGGGGAAAAGTTTAAAAAAAATCATATCATAGAATCATAAAATCATAGAATTTCCCAGGCCGGAAGGGACCTCCAAGGGTCATCTAGTCCGACCTCCCCACAGTCAGCAGGGACACCCCCAACTAGACCAGGTTGCCCAGGGCCTCATCGAGCCTCTCCTTGAATATCTCCAGGGAATCAAATCAAATCAAACAGAACAGTGTAGTTACAGAATATCCTTGCACTGCTGGAGCCATAGGTGTTGGTACAACTTTGGTGCTGGCTGTCTCCCACAGTAGCAACATCCCCCAGTTCACTTCTTTGTCCCAGCAAGTCCCCACTTAAGATGGAAAATTAGAGCAGGAATTTTAAGGTAGCAGATGTATCAGCGACTAACCAGGAAGCTGCTGGTGCTTAGGAGGAATGGGATCCAAAGTTAGCTTTAGCAAAGATAAAAATTCAAAGACTGTTTGTGTACCACTGAGAAAAGTAGTACACAGGGAAAAACATCAGGGCCTTCTTAGCATTCTGTAAGCTTGTAGTCCAGATGGCTCCGGCTCTAATGCTGATCTAACTCCAGAATTGCTGCTTGACCTTGTGTTTGTGGCCAATTTAACCATTTCTGCTTCTTGTTCTTTCTAATCCTAGGGAAAAAAAAAAATAGTCCTTTTTGGATGAGCCTTTAGTGTGGTTTATAATCTGTCTTGGCGTGATGGCACTGCAGTAGCATCGTCCACTTGTGGTGCAGTTACGTGGAGACTGTGAGAGGTGCTGACTGCTCTGCCCCTGTTCCCTCATGCACAGGCAGGATTCTTGGGCACTTACTATAGATCCTAATTCCCAGTAACCAGGCAAATTGCCAGTAGCTGACAGTAGTAGGGCAAAACAATACAAGGATGAATGGTCATGAGACACATCTGGATTATAGGATTCATAGCTTGGACAAGCAACTTTTAAGCTACCATACTAAACTTCAAGTGTTTAGAATACAGTCCAGGATAGAGATCCTTCTGAAATGGAGCTAGAGGCTAGGACTGTATTTATGGCAGAGTTAAACAGTAACAAATAAGGTTTCCTCATTCTTTTTTTGCTTTACATGGGTCTCTTCTTCCTTTACAGCTAAAATAGAAATCTGTGGATTTATTAATAATAGACTTGAAACTCTGGGCTGTAATAAGCAAATTCACTGCAGTAGTGCAGCACCACCAGCTAGACAATACTGCACATTGTTCCAGCAGCAAACTTCATAATGATTATTCCTGACCAGTGTTGCAGCAGAAAGAGAAAACACAGCAGAAACTGTAGCATGTGCGTTCTCGTGTGCTGAAAGCATGCAGTGCAGTGGCTCAGCAGTGTAAGCTGGGAAATGCTGAGAGAAGCATCACAACAAGCATTTTGCTCTGCCGCGTGGGCAGTCAGTGACTATCCAGCACACATCTGTGCCCACCAGCTACCTCCCCAAAGAGAGCTGAAGCCAAAGAACACACAGGAAGAAGCAGTGGTCTAGGAGAAGCAGGGCTCACCCAGGGTCCTGGAGAGCAGAGGCGCAGTGGTAGAGATGCAGGTCAAAAGCGGCAGTCCCTTCTAACTAATTAGAGTCAGAGCTCAAGCTTTTGCAGGACTGACCAGCAGATACTGTTAATAACAGGAGCTTTATAAGTGTCCTTGGGTATTGACTCTAGGACAGAAGCAGAAAACAATTTGAGTTACAGTAACAAGGTGGAGAATTAAAGAGAGACAGTAGGCGTGTTTACAGATTTGATTTGAGTTCATTCAATAGCAAACTTCACATTACAGTATTTAGCTTAATCAGATTTCGGGAGTACTGTAAAGCACTCGCGCTTTATTAGCGTTTTACAATATTAAATATTGTACATAAAATTATGCTATTACAAAGCAAGATTACTTCCCTAGTGCTGATACATTAAGTCTGGTATAAGTGCTTAACTTGATAATGCTTATTTCAGCATAGGCTGGGTAATAAGGTATATTAATGTAAGTGCTCTTCTAACAGATAATTAGGTTTGTAGAAAGCCACCTGAGAGAGCAAGCAAGTAGCAACAATGAAGTTCACTCCCTCAAAACGGTGAATAACTTGCCTTAAAGCACAGCCATATTGCAGAAATTCAGGGATGGCAGGAGGAGACAGACGTGTAAAATGCCCCCCAGCTCTCATTCTTGCCTTAACTGTCTGACTCAGTAATGCCAGAGCTGGCCCAGTGGAGAGGCAGCATCATAAAGAGGTGTCTGTGTCACACACCCAGGATTACAGCCCGTGCCACCTGGATTATCTAGTGCTTGCCCTGATCTGAGATACTTCAGTTGATGAATCAACAGTTTCATCATCCTCCATCCTGGGCCCTTCACAAACCAAGTAGGAAAAAAGTGTACTATGATCCAGAATGTGGCTACCCTTCTTGTGAGATAGACTGGTAAAGTAGCAAGGTTCCTAGCATCAAACTGTACCTTAAAGTACTGATTTTTATTTAATGATATTACTTTCCTATGGTGTATTCTGTTTAATTTTGCTTAGAACAACTGGAGTATCTGTATGAAATCAACATTTAAAAATCCTAAGTATCCAAATTTTTACAAAAAACCTTAAGCATCTAAAAAACCCCTAAGAATCCAAACTCAGCCTCAATTTAACCTCACTAGCCAGCACCTCCCTGCTTATCCAAAGTGACCACTTCAGAGACAGTTTTGTTCAGTACTTATAGGCGAGCAATTGCTGCGAAAATGAGACAATATACTTCAGAGCCTGTAACCACCATAAAGTAGTTTACCTCTTATGTATCTTTAAGTAGGACAATATTTAGTTTGTTATGAGCGATTTAACTTTCAGCTATTGTAGAAAATTACTTCTTGTATTATAAATTAATAATAATTTCTCTTGTACTTGGTTTCCCCTAGGAATTATGAGAAGCAGAGAATGCAAGAATATTTGCAAGAGTTGCAAGAAATGGAAGAAAGAGTAAATCAAAGGCCATTGCTTTTTGAAAGAGTCACTCAGGTTGTCTGTCTTCTGTATTACTTCTTAATTTTATCTTCAAATACTATATGAGACATTTGTAGTCAAACATTTCAAACATAGAAGATATTTGAAAAAAAATCTTCAAATATTGCCATGTGTCCATACAAATATTACTAATTTTTGTGACTAAGCATTCATGGCTTGCTTGCACAGGGAGCTGAGATGGCTGTTCCAAACGTCTTGCCCAATTCCTTTATAATATGAGTAACTCTAAACACAACAAAAATTTACAGCAAAAACGTGAAAGGTCTAAATTGGGAAAGAAGTGATAAGAAAAATTGAGTATTCTTGGTATATAATTTAATGCTCAGATGCAGGTTTTTTTCCTCCATTTCAGTACAACCACGTGCTGGTAGTGGGGTCTCTGACCTGTTTCCAAAACCAGAGAGGCAGCAAGTCATAGATCACTGGTTCCTTTGTCCCTTCTGGCTGCATGGGTTTCCTTGGTCTGCCATTGCTACGGGGCGGGAGCATCTGTGTAGATTGGAGAACAAGTCCTCCTCACTCAGATACTACCTGGAGGAACAGAATTTATGCCCTCGGTTTCAGAGGCAGAGACACCCATCTATGTAGTTTGTTAACTAGTGCTGTAAGAAGGTGAATCAATACTGCTGTTTTAGGGCAGCAGCTCCCAGAGAGGGAAGACAGAAGAGGAGGAGAGTGGATAAGGAAGAAGCCCTAGGAAGACTACATTTGACTTTTCACATGTCCGCATCTTCCCACTCCTACTTCAATAGCTATATAGAGAAAATACAGCTCTTCATTAGCCAGGGAGCAAACTGTATTTAAACTAGTACAGAAAAGGAAAATCTGGTGTTAAAATTTAAAGTATTGTTTTGCTATTCTTACCTATAGTGAATAATCATTCCACTTGTCAGATGCAATTAAAGAAACAGAGTATTAATATAAACAAAAGTTATAAAGGCATTTAAGGCATTTAGGTAACACATAACCATTGTGGGTTTCCTACAGAAAAATGCCAGAATAGCTGCAGAAAAGCATTATTCTAACAGACTGAGAGCGCTGGGGATATGCCCAGAGTTTGTTTCAAAGAAAGGACAAACAACTAAGTTGCTACAATACTTCAGTCTTGAAGATTTTACTAACTCCACTGATGCCAGAGAAAGGTAGGGATTGCTGGGATTACTGAGAGCTTTGTTTTCTTTGCCACTGCTTACCTAGTAACTAGAAAGTAATTTTTGATGTGTAGGTTTGTGGGTTTTGTTTGTTTGTTTTGTTGGGGTTTTTTAAATTGTTTGCAGTATTTCGAAGGTAAATGTTTGACTAGATAGTTAGCTTTACTAATGTTAGCATTAGTATGTATTTTTTTAATTGTTTTTCCTGGATTAAATATTATTTCATAAAATGGAGGAGAGCACCAGAGATGTTATCTAATGCACTTCAAAGAAAAATGAAGAAAAACATTTTTCATTTGTTCCTTTCACCAAAAAAATTGACAGATTACTTGTAAGTCACTTCACTTGCATTACCCTTTACTGAATTTTTAAAATAAACCTTATTAAAAATACAGTTAAATATCCATTAGGTGTTGTTATATAAAAGGAAGTAGAATTTTAAAAAGTGAAATATACAAGCAATACTGTTGAATTACTTTCTAGCATAAAAGGTGACTCTATGTGCCCCCCTTCCTTTTTTCTTCAGCAGTTCTACCGCAGCCAAGTCTACCAGGATTTGTCCTAGATTACATGAAGGTAGTTTAACATTTACTGGAAAGCATCTTACCTGAAAATAAAATCACACATGCAAATTGTCTTTTCAGAGTCAGCAAGGATAAAGTGAAAGAAAGGGAATCCTTTGAGGAAGCAGCTGACAGTAGTTCTCCATCTGAGCAGTCCTGTGAGGAGGAAGAGGGAGAGAAGAGAAAAGGAGTCAAAGCCTCCACCTGGGACGGCCAGTCCAGCGAGCTGGAGGATGAGGAAGAGGCAAGAGCCAGCCCTCGTGTTCATCAGCCTTGTCATGCAGGGGAGACTGGGGCAAGCCCCACCTCAGACCAGCGCCGTGAAGAGGATGAGGAAGCAAAGGCAGGCCTGTCACTTGGCCATTCCCAGGAGGAGGACGAAGAGGAGGATGATGATCAGTCAAGACCCAGCTCTCGGTCTGAGCAGTCCCATGAGCGTGAAGAGGGTCAGTCTGACCCTGAAGCTGAGGATGCCTTTGGATATGAGGATGAAGAATATGAAAATGATGATTCAGAAGAGAAACCTAGTGATGAAGAAGCTGACTGAAGGGAAGGCAGACAGGATGGCCTGGGCCTCAGGAACCTATTTCATTGCTGGCAGTGAAATGAACACCAAAGAAAAAATTGGGGTTTTGCTTCCAATACAGAATCTTGGGAATCTAAAGCTTTTAGCTTAACAGTTTTTCCAGCACAGAAATCTTGTCTGTTTTCCAGAGAGAAAGACTCATTTACTAATTTCCACCAAGAAAATAATTTAATTTTATATTAATATGCTTTATTCTAGTCTTCTGTGACATAAGTGCACCTCTATTCATAAAATGAACTGCGACCACCGTTTAATAATAATCTCTTGCATGCTGTGTTGGTAAGTGCTGAGGTCTTAACATGTTTAGGTCTTTCTGTGTGCGAGCAAAGCCAGCTGAGATTATCAGTGCCTCCCAGTCTCAAACATTTCAGTACCTCTGGGGTCTCTTCCTGCAGTATCTTCTAGGATGGCAGTGAGTAGACCAGGGTTTGTTGTGCAAGACCTCTGATTGTTTTCAGCAGAGCAGCTGTTAGGAAGACAACTTGTGCCGTTAGACAATATGGCCAAATTAATCTGCTCGGTTTCTCCCTCCTCTTCCCGTGGGGTATGTCTTCTGCACTCTTAAGTGAGCTGAATTGGCTCAGTGATGGGTCAGATGAGTGCCAGGGCCAGAAAAGATTACTACTTTTGGAGGAAAGAAGCTGTTATATCAACTCACCTACCTTGTCCAGCTGAAATAGTATTGCAGTCACTGAAGGCTGTCCCTGTAGAGAGGAAAATGCCTGGAATACACTGGGAGCAGCCACTTAAACTTTCAGAGGAATTTTTTTAACAGTGACAGACAAGTGGGGTAGAAGACTTTCAGTAGAAGTCTATGTTATGCTGCAGATCCTGTATTACTGTCTAACCAAGCCCTAAAACTGTTCTTTCAACTCCATTTTTTTTTTTTTTTTAAGAGCTCTTCCTGTGATCATGGAAAATCATTCTTCCTAACATAACAACAAATGCTGACATTAATCCTCAAATTTCTTTATTGAGGCAGTAAACATACTGTAAAGAGGGAATCTGACCACATCACATAAAAAGGTAGCCCAGCAACTCTAGGGGCATGAAAGTGTGGAAAGAAGTGCTTTTGTTCCTTTTTTTAGACACTTGTTACTTGGGACTTCAGCTACAACACAGCAAAGAATGCAAGTGGAAGGTTTGAATTTGGTTGGTTGTTTTTCCTCTTTATATGAGTAGTATCTTTTCCTACTAATAGGTGCTTTCTTGCTAACCTCTCCTATGCAACCTAGGAGAGATAATAAATAAAAACCGCATCCACGTAATAACAGACCACAAACAAGGATTTCAAAAAAGCTTCGTCTGGACAGAGTACAATGCAACATTGCACAGGGGCTCAAAACATGTTCATTAAAGAGTAAATGCATTTGTTAAAACTACCAGGTTTGCAAAAGCATCTGCAATGACTACTAGTAGGGATTTTTATTTTTTATTGTTTTTGTCCATGCTGCATGGAAGAGCACTAACTGAATCTGTTATTTCTTCCTCCTGACTTTGAGAAAGTGTGTAATAGTGTTGGGAAGATTTTTTTATCATTATTACTTTTTGAATCATGATTTATTTTTTAAGTGTGAGCGTAACTTATATGCATTTGAAACTTTTTTTTTATTTCAATAAAATATCCCTTGTAGATATATCATGCATGAAAGTCTTAATCATTACTTCACAAGGAAAATCAGTTACAATCTCCAGTAGTACCTGACAACCCTACAATACAAACTCAAAGTTGGGAATGTGTTTCAAATCAGAAAAAAAATCAAATCCATTTTTAAGATCTGACAGCACTCAGCTAAGTGTTTAAAAAGAACATAAATGTATAATTGTTGAACTATTAAGAAAGAAACTAAAAATATTACTAAAACTCATTTGAACTGGAAGAAAGTAGCAAAAACACTGCTTTTTTTTTTTAAAAAGGTTTTAGAAGAAGACATTGGGAACCTGTGTATAACTTAGATTGAGGTTTTCACTGAATTTTTACTATATTAACCTTACTACGAACAGATATAAAGAACAGAAATAAATATTATATAACAAGGAATAGTACAGCTTTTAGAGGCTATGCCTCAACTTTTTTAGCATTTTTGAACAAGTCAAGCAGAAACATGTGGACTAAGGGGATCCAATTGATATGGTTTACCTAGGTTTCCAGAAAGCATTTGACACAATTTGCTACCAAAGGATCTTAAAGAAACCAGCCATGTTGTAGGAAAAGAAGGGTCTTAATGAATTACTAAGCAATTAAAAATTCAGGAAATAAAAGCTAAATTTTAACAGTTTAGTGCAGTTATCATTCGCAGGCACTCAATGAGATTAAAGCTGTTGAGCATACTCAGAAGGGATCTGTAGTGTCCATTCCAAAGAGTTTGCTGAGGCCACAGAGTTATTCAATGCTGCGAAAAAATGAAACTGACTGCAAAGAACATGCTGAAGGATCTTATGAATATGATAGAACAAATATAGTTCAGTTTTAGTAAGTGCAAATAAATGCATGTGAGGGTAAAAAATATTCATAATCTATACAATACTATACACTGGAAAAAACCCACAATGCTATCTTGAATACTGCATGCAGCCCTGGTCCTCACATCTTAAAAGTGATTTATTATGTTACTGGAAGAAGGCAACAAGAATGATAAAGAATGGCTTTCATATGACAAGAAGGTAGTTTGGTTTTCTTATGACAATGTATACTAGGATTCTTTAATTTGGAAAAGATGAGAGATTGAACTTTGAGATATTAAATGAACCAGTTATGGAAATCAATTTGAGCAGCACAGATTTTCAAAGTGGAAGAATCATGACATTTAAGTCAAAAAAACTGTTCAGAAATTGCATTACAAACAAGAAAGGGATAAGCATTCCAACAAGGAATTAAAAAGGAAAGAAATAGACAAGAAAAATTACAGATGACAGAACAAAAATGGGGAGAGACAGGTTGGGATGAATTAAATCTCATGAAGCAAAGTAGAGCAGCGAAACATTCTTCAAAGAATGAGGCCCGTACATCATGCTGTCGTGAGATGAATAATAGGCTGTCCTAAAAAACAAGTCATATTTGACTTTTTTGTTGTTGTTGTTCAGGAGGATGATTTAAAATGTAGACAAAATAGGAGGAAACTAATAGGATGATGGCACTGAAATGAAAATTACTATATTTAAAGAAAAACCCCAATAACCTCAACATGAAAATCCAAATCCAGGTGAAAGGTTTCAGTAAACTACCAAGATGCAGAGTGGTACCATAGGAAAGGAGAATAGAATATGTAGTACTTTGTCAGAACTCAAAACATTTTGATGCAATTAACATGGAGGAAAAAAGAAGTCATTTGATTCACAAAAGATGATATAATAGAAGCAGTTTAAGTTAAGAAGCTCATTAAAGGAGACATGATGATTAGTTATGCTTTCAGGGAAGCTACCCTACCAGGAGGGAGATGAATAGAAAAGTTTCTCACAGATTATTGAATATTCTGTCTTTAATATTTTAATTAATGGCCAAAGCACAAAAGTAGAAACATGTTCAAAAATTTGCAAAGAAAATGAGAAAGGTGTACCCAAAGAAAAAAAAGGATTAAAAATACCACATGGGAAGAAGAGGATAACTTTGCATGTAGGGTGTAGAATTAAATAAGAAGTGCAAGAATAACTTTTCTTTCATGGGAATTCATCACCTGAAGCTGTAAGGAGAGACCCAGATGACTTGTTGAGCAACAGATATTGAACCCCAAAATGTGATCATAAAAAAGGTGATGGAATTGAAGGATGCACCAGATACAAGTACTGTTCTCCCAGTCTTGCTGGAAATAAGCTAAGTCTACAGACACTAACAGATCCCATTCTCATGGTACTGAATGGGAGCGATGGCCTTGGTTGGAAATCCTGTACTGAACTTCCCCCACTGCTCACATCTGCCACAGGTTCCCACTGAGATAAGCTGTAGCCATATCCACCCTGCTGGAGAAGGCAGCCTGAAGGGTCAAGCATTATTGCTCGGCTGCAAGGCACTGGCTTGCAAGTGTATATAATTTGTCGGGAAGACACATCCCAGGAAAGGGATACAGATTCTGGAAGTTTCGTGCTTGCAGGCAGTGCAGTTGCCATGGAAAGGCTCTAATATCTGGTGAGCCCAGGCTGAAAACAGTCATAAGGTTGTAGGACCTATGCTGTAATAAGCCCTCTGCATTTACTGAAGTTTAGAGCCATCAGAAGTGATATATTTTTAGCAATAGCCAATTCCACAGGAAAAGGAATATCACCACCAAGTAAACCAAATAGAAGTACAGGGCCCACAAAGAAGTAAAAATGACTTCAAGTTACAGTCAGGTGCAGGGCTCAGTGTGACTGTTCAGCACCCAGACTGTTCTAACTTGTACCAAATACAGTCCTAAAATATTGACAGGCTGTACATAAAGCCTATTTAGATGTATTTCTAACTCTCTCACTGTATATTTATCTATATAATTATATGTATTTGTATGTTTTGAAGTAAGAAGCCAGAAGTTTTGGATATTGTGCTTTTTCTGGGTGCAGTGCAACATTGTGGCATTGTTCTGAGGGAAGTCACTAGCAAATCTGAAAGCAAGATAGAAGTGCCACCCAAACACTTCTAAAAACAGAGCATCCAACTTTGAAAAAAAGGCTCCAAAAGCACGATGCCCAGCTGGACCCCAGGGAGGCTGTGGGAGCAAGAAGAGTTGCTACTGTGGACTGCTAAACAACATCGTGAGCTTTGGCCACACAACCCCCCCTCTTTAGGGGGTGTGTTTCTATCTTTTGGGTTGCCCTCCAAATTTACCTGCATTTCTCAAGTGTTCTTTGTAAATACAGTACCATGGATACTCTGGCAACCATCTTCTCATGGACATAATTACCATAACATCAAACAGGAGGTTACGTTCTCTTTTCCTTTGAGGAAAAAATTATTACATTATTACCTTCTACAGCTGCTCCAAGTGAAGAGAATAACAAAAGAATCCAACTTTTTGAAGAAAAGTCATCACTATTTTGAAATTACTTAATTGTACTCTCATTTAGAATCCTCAGACTTCTGGAATGGCAAAAAGCAAAATATTTGCCTGAGCTCAGCAGATAATAGGCACTCCAAAGACCAAAACATATATTAAAAATTATTTCTAAAAGTATGTCTATACAGTTGCCCACAAATTTAAATCCAACATCAGTTTTGTATGCAGAATACATTTGTCCAGGAACACCAACTAGTCCACTATTACAAGATATGGCAGCTGCATCATTACAGTCGTTTACATGAAGATAAAATTAGAAACAGCTTGATGTCTGTCCTCCTCGCCCTTCAGTGGAATTTCAGACTTACATCTTAGGTTGTACAATATTTTGATAATTACTTGACTTTAGGGAAAAAATAGAAAAAAAGCCCTACCATACTCCAGCAAAACTCAAAATTGCTTCTTTCTTCAAGAGGAATTTCAGGTATTTGAGGAATGCCAGAACACAACTAAGACTCAAAATAGTATCAGAAAAATTCCTGTCCCTACTGTATCCTAAAAAACCCTAGCAATCAGATGAAGAATCAGAGAAATTTGGGATCATATGGTTAAGGCAAACTGCACAGATAGAAAAGAAACCTGTAGGACCTGATGTAGTAATTTAGATATTAGATTTGTATTAAGGAATAACAGCACTAAGAGGCTACAACTGTGCTAAGTGTGCACAAACACACAGAAATAAATCCCCAATTCAGCTCTACCAGGCACCTCTGCATACTTCAGGGGCAATACATCATGTTTACTCAGAGTAAATCCTTTCATAGCTGAGCATATAAAACAGCTTGATTGTACCCAAAGAGCACAAGCTCTGTCCTCCCCTTTCTTTTCTTTTCCTCCCTGTTTTTCAGACCCTTTCATTGAGCCAAATTAACTCACCAAAATAGCACAGCCAAAAAGGAGAGGGTGAGGTTAGGAGATGACAGGGACAAGCAGGACTTCAGGCTTTTAGTGCTGGCCAGTTACGATCAGTGTCTCACACAAAACTGCATCCCAGGATTAGCCACATGAGAAAATCCCTCACATGTTTAAGTGGTTGTAGTACAGTGAAGACAGATGCTTACGAGCAAGAAATATGGTTCTTTTCTAATAAGTAATACTGTAAATCAGACCATGTTTAATGTCATGAACACAAATGGTACCATGGCAGCCAGTTTTTAACTGGACTGAAAGCAAGTGTATTTGCATTTGCACAGCTTAAAACTTGCTACTAATAGCTAGGGCTTACTAATGATAAGCCGATTACTAACAATAGTTAGGCAGGTTAACAATAAGAAGGTTAGTAAGAGTAAGCAGGTTACTGATTAATAATAAGTAACCACACTACCAACACAGTTAGGAAATTCTAGTTGCCACCACAGTGAGTTGTTACAAACCAACCTGTTACTGCATTATTCAGATCATTGTTCTGCTTTCAAACATAGCCCTCCACGCTGCCAGGTGTACATGGTTCTCATGAAGGACTTCTGTTAATTTGTCATCATTTTTAATGCAGATTTCATGCCATCCTACATTTTCTAAAATGGATAAAAGATACACAAATTACAGTTGTAATAAGTACTAAAAGGAAACAAAAATCAGGTGTTACAACTGTTAATGTGTTTGTTTCATTCCA